AAGCTGAACACCAGTACCAATAGCGAGAAAGAAAGAAAGAAAAGGAGAACTGGACTACCAGGAAACGAAATTACTTTGGTATTTTATTTCTCGGGTGAAAGTGTGGTAATGATTCTGTCTGCTCTTAGATGGAGAATTAATTCTGTGCAAGTTAAAAAGAGGGCCAACAGCTAAGAGCTGTGCAAGGTAATAGGTTTTATACAACTAGATAAGGCTTTGTGTGACAGTCAACCAAAGCCTTAAAAATTAGTACAAAAATGATGACCTAAAATGATAGAACAAACAAGAGGCACTCAGGTTTTCTAATATATCTGGGGCTGAGCAGACAGCTGAAACATTTTAGATGAAAGGAAACATTTGCTATTGCAAAGCTTTCACTGTAGGTGAGGTTTATAGGAGGTTTAGCACTGATTTTTGGAGAGAAGTCACCTGGAAATCAGTGAAAGAAATGGAAATGACCCGAGGGTTACAGGGAGTGAGGATATATTTGCATCCTGGTGCTGTACCAGCTGTCTCCCAATGCTCTGAGAACAGAAAGGGATTTGTAGCTGTTTGGTGAGGGATTTTCAACTCTTCCTGACAAATGGGACTGGAGCAGGGTTTAGACTTGAGATTAAATCAGAAGATGAGGAAATTCAATTTCACATCTGGGGAAACCATGGCAGTTGATAACTGGTGGCAAAAAGCAGCTGGTTTTTCTGGGTACGTGAATAAAAGGGAATACCAATTGGAACGGGAAAGGGAAAAGAATTTGGTGATGGATGAGCTGCTTCTCAGCACAAGCACAGAGAAGGAACTTAAAAACCTAATCAATATAGGGCTTACTATTTTGGCATGTGCACGTGTACACATCACTACTTAATTTTTTTAATTAAATCCACTCTTAGAAAACCCTAAACAAACCAACCCCCAAAAGTTAAACAGTATATACAGCATATATAATTTTTTAAAAAAGTAGTCAGTTTAGATTCTGCCCATTGAGCACTCTCCTTGCTGCAGCTTCCTTTTAATCCCCCAGTTTCACTGAACATTTCTGGATGACAAATGGAAGGAGGAGTCAGCGTGTCTAAAAATCCAGGACTAGTGAAGTTGGGCTCCCCTAGCTGAAACTAAGAGTAGTTCCTGCATGTAATTCTCATGTAATTGCTGTATCAAATGTGACTGACAAGCTGGCTGGGGCTGGAAGGTTTGTGTCCCTCACCCTGTACATTAATATCACTGACAGGTGGGGCTGGGTTATAAAACTCAGTGGGCATCACTAAATCTAGAGGTGTAGAGACATGAGGCTTCCCAAGAATAAAGATGATCAGCCAGCAGTGTTTAGCACCAGAGTCACACAGTAAACCAAAACATTTTGGAGTTGGCCCATGCACTAGGTTCAACACAATTTATTTTCTGCTCAGCCACTCCAACATACTTTGCAAGTGTGTGCAACTCTGTTTTAGATATCCATGCTTTCTTCATAATTGCTGGTATACACTGAAAAGACCAAGTTGCATCCTTAGTTACCAACTAAGATTCTGGTCCAATTAGTGTCATCTTCCCTTCCCCAAGATAATTTATGGTTTGTTTGTCTGGATGTATAAAAGTATGTAAATCTAAAGTTGAAGATTTAGCTCCAGTGCTCTCTCCAAACATATGTTCTCAACAAACAGCAAATGCTCTCTCTACATTAATGTTTCAGAAGCTGCCTTGGCAATTTTAATAGCCACTTTATTTCTGACTTAACTGATCTGGATTAGAGGTGAGTTCATCCCCAACATATTTACTAGAGGATCCAAGGCTAGGAAGGTTTATTAATCATTAGCTGCAGTGGCTGTTTAAAAGCTGGTAACACGGATCTGCACTGCCCTTTCCTAAGTATTTTTAAATGTCAAGGGAGTGAAAGAGGGGAGGAAAGGGATTCTTTTGTCAGTAGTTTTGTCATCTATTCCTTTTACCTGGACTACACAATATTGGTAGAGATTTGGAAGGAAAAAAAGTTTGTTTTAAAATTTCTGGTTTAGGATTACAGAATAAGCGTGTGCTTTCTCAGTGTTCCAAAAATGTGTGCTGTTCACAGTTTTTACAAACTTCATGCTCAGTTGACATAACTGTGTGTGCATATTCCTTGTTGTTGCCTCTTTTTTTTTTTACAGCTGCCACAGATGGATCTTTTTGCTCCTAGAAGGGAAATGGTGCAATTACAGGTTCTCTCCTCTTTGTAAGAGAAAAGGTTTCAGGCTGACTATCAGTATTTTTCAGTCTGCAGAAAACTCACCGTCCCTTTTGAATGAGAAGAAAGTGTCACACAAATGAATCATCTAGGCAAAAAAAGAAAAAAAATAGCATGTGGTGGCATGAAGAAATGAGTGGTTTTGACAGAGTGCAATCTGGTACAACAAGTATTTCGCCCCTTTTCATGTTTATCAATCTCTAGGTTTGTGACCAAGGAATATATACTTTTTTTGAGGCCAAAGTAGAGTTACTGGCAAAGCCAAGACTTGATCTGTGTTCAAGTTGTGAAGGTTTTTCATTGGGATGCTAATGCAGAAGTATAATATTTCTAGCCACTTAATTAGTAGGAGGGGTTTAACTTTTTTTTTATTTTTTATTAAAGAATAATGAAAAATGCATTGTCTCTGTACAGTCAGCTCCTTGTTAGAATACTCTGGGTTTTTTTCAAACCCTGCTTTATATTTGTGAATGCATCAGTTAAACAAATAATAATCAAAGGAACAGAAAAATGCCTCGTAATTTGTTATTGTCTATAAAGGTGTGTACAGGCAGGTCATTTTACTGATAGGCTGAATGAGAATGGAGAGAGTCAGAGCAGCCCCCCATGGCTTTGCTTTGGGGGCTGCAGAGAGCAGCAGGAGCTGGAGCAGCCCTGGGGTGCAGGATATGACAGAACACAAGTTGCTGCCCTGAAAAGTAAACAACACTTTTCACTACCTACCAATTATTTGGAGCCCAGGGAAGCAGAGGAGTCATTTCAGTAATTTCAGCAGGTTTTAGATGAGGTCACCTTTTGTAGCTCAACCCTTTTTCACTGCAAATACAATTTCACTTAGGTGGAGGAGCTGGGAAATACAGTTACTAGTGATTTGCCCTATAAGTTCTATAATGTCCATGCTCTTATTGTTTTAGCTCAGAGGATGGATAATACTCATAGGAAATGGAAGTTTCTGTAAATCCTACCTTTATCTTTTCCGTGTGGGCAAATATTAACGAGAAAATCTCTTTTTGCACACAAAAGCCCAGCTAAATCTGCAGCAGATGTAATGGCCCACTTCCATAGCCTACAGCCTCAAGATTTGTTTATATTCTGTAGATTAACTGTTCAAATGTTGTTCCTTTTTAATGCTGTTTGATTACTTGTAATGAGCAGCCATAGCAATAAAATAAGGATATATGAAAAAACAAATGTCCATGTTATCCATAAACCCGGATTATTTGCAGTATTTAGGTGAGAGCTTATTCCCATTTATTTGTTCCCGAAACACTTGGATGCTTTCTGCAATGAATAACATGACACTGCAGTCCTGGATGACAGACTGGCTTCCAGGTTTGGCCCTTTATTTATAATAGGAATTAAGTCTGCTGAAATGCATCTGGCTTGTTTGTTAATAGAAGAGCTGCTAAATGAGGTTTTGGGGGAAGAGGGGAAAAGGAAAAGAGGTGTAGGAAAGGATGTGTGAACACAGCACATGAAGGTGACTTCAGGCTATACCTGCTGTAGTTAATGCATAGTCCAAGGGAAGGTGCTGGGAAAATTGGACTCAAAACAAGTCTGTCTGTGCTATGGGACATAAGCTCAGCTGGATCATTATAGGACTAAAAGATCAAGCTTGTCTAGCCAACAAGGCACACCTAAGAGAATGCGAAAGGGGCTGTCTGAATGTCAGGAATTGGTCTGGAGTGGGAAACACATGGCAGTACTGCACCAAAGAAAGGTTGACAGGGCCTTTCACCATGGGCTAATCAAGAGAATCTTTGCCATGGAGCTATACCTTAATAGAGGATTGTCAGCATTTGGAGGACTGACCTGTGCAGGTTGGAATACACACATGCCAGTGCAGGCACTGGAATTTCTCTCCATTGATTTCCACTTAATAGAAATATTTTTTTCAAAGATGATACAAAATAGCTTTCGTCTTGTTGGGCATGTTCATTTTGCTGATAATGACTTGGTGGTGAACTCTTCCCTCCCCAATTTTACTTGTCAAGCTGGAAACCTTGTAAGTACCTTATAAATAGACAGCTTTTGCTAGACTTTTCTTCATTCTTTTCTGTATTTCCTTGCTACAGGTCAAGATATACTTAGGGCGGAGAGCATCTTCTGCACAAAATCTAATTTTGCAGCATTTTCCCTGGTGATGTAGTTTCCTTATCGAACGTGTACGTCTGTGGGAGGCGGTAAGTGTTGTCAGAACAGTTTACCATGTTATTATTGCCTTCTCTGGATTCTGTTTGATAATTCATTATGTGACTGATCAGTTGTTGTTATCATACAGTACAAAGGGAATATATCTGCTTTAGTGAGAAAGCTGTAGTGGGTACTTTAATGAGGTTGGAAGACAAATCAATGCACATTTTCAACTTGATCCCTCTGTTAGACCTTAACTGTCATTATTATCCACATTTAAGCTGTGGTGGCATTATCTTAACTCCTGTTCAGCCAGTTTGCTGAGTGCATCTCAGTAGCCTACATAAACTTACCTAAGTAGCCTAGACAGGTTGTGTGGGATGGGGTTCTGTCATGTCTCCTCTGGCAAAGGGGATCTTCAAGACTCTCCTGGGATCTCAGTGGGCCCAGCGGCCAAAGTCTGGAAAATTACTTTTTTTATTTGAGCTTTGGTTTTATTTGAGCTTTGCCTCATTGTGTGAGGGCCTGCAGCGGCGTTGGCACAAAGGGAGCTGGAAAGGTAGATAAAATCCCTTCTCTGTCTCTACCGGGCTGGGCACGGAGCAGCCGTGGCGCGACATGCCCCCCTCACGCAGGTGGCCGTGTACCTTACGGAACAACCTCCTTCATTTCCCTCTCGAGCCTGATGGAAACGTGAGACGAGAGGTCGGCTCGGGAGTTTCAGCTCCCGCCTCGGGCGTTTCGAGCCTGCGATGGGGAGACACCTGTGAGGGAACAGCTGTCAGAGGGGAGCGGCGCCGAGGGGGCAGCTCTGAGGGGGTCCCAGCGCTGTGAGGGGGGCCCAGCTCTGTGAGGGAGTCCCAGCGCTGTGAGGGGGGCCCAGCTCTGTGAGGGGTTTGCGCTGTGAGGGGGTCCCAGCTCTGTGAGGGGGGCCCCGCGCGCTCCCTCGCGCGCGAAGCCGCCTCGCGCCCTTCCCGCTGCACGGCGGCGGGGCCGTGGCGGGCGCGCGCTCGGCGCTGATTGGCCGCCGTTCCCCCTCCCCGGCCCGCCCGCCCTGGCCGTGGCCATGGCCGCGGGTGGCGCCGCTCGAAGTTTGTGGCCGCGGCGGTGCCGCCGCCTCCCCATCGCCCTCGGGCTGGTCCTGGCTCTGCGCGCCCCTACCTCCGCTGCACACTGCCGGGTCCGGGCCAGCTGAGCGCCGGAGGGCGGTGGTCCGGCGATGGCGAGGCGCGGGCGGCGGCGCTGAGGCGGCTGAGGAGGGCGTCGGTGCCCGAGCGGGCGCGATGCGGTCCCTGAACATCACCCCGGAGCAGTTCGCGCAGCTCCTGCGGGACAACAACGTGACGCGGGAGCAGTTCATCGCCCTCTACGGCCTGCAGCCTCTGGTGTACATCCCAGAGCTGCCGGGGCGCACCAAGGTGGCCTTCGTCCTCATCTGCGTACTTATCTTCGCTCTGGCGCTCTTCGGCAACTGTCTGGTGCTCTATGTGGTGACCCGCAGCAAAGCTATGAGGACCGTCACCAACATCTTCATTTGCTCCCTGGCGCTCAGCGACCTCCTCATCGCCTTCTTCTGCGTCCCCTTCACCATGCTGCAGAACATCTCCTCCAACTGGCTCGGCGGTGGGTGCCGGGGTCGGGGCGGGCGGTCCCGGGCCGGGCTGGGCTGCAGGGGGGTGGCGGCGGGGAGGGCGATGAGGGGGCAGCGCTTGTGGCAGCGCCGCCGCCGAGACTACAGTTCCCGCCGTGTGTGAGGGACCCCTTCTCTTTCCCTGCTTCCATGAGGGACCCCTTCTCCTTCCTGCCGTCTGTGAGGGACCCCTTCTCCTTCCCGTGCTCTGTGAGGGACCCCTTCTCCTTCCCGCCGTCTGTGAGGGATCCCGTCTGATTCCCGCCCCCCTGTGAGGGATCCCTTCTCCTTCCCTCCCTCACGGTATGGTAAACCCAGCGCGCTTTCCTTCTTGTATTCCTTAAAAGTTGCGGTGTGTGTTTGGCAAACGGTTCGTTTTGTGGTGGTAACGAGGAAGTCTTGCCATATTGTCTCTTTTTTATTTTTCTAAGTATTGAAATCTGCCTGGCAAGTGAAATGTTAGTCTTTATTAAGCTTAAGGTCCTCAGCTCGGAGACAGACCTCAATAGTCTCTTCTGAGGAAAAAGAATGTCCTTGGAGAAATAGGGAAATGACAGAACATGCAGAACTTCTGTTCAAATAATTACTTTTTTTCTCATTCTTATTTTTTGAGAACTATATTGTATTCCTGTTGATGTGAAGGACCTTTGGGCAAGGCTTCCCTGATGCCCGGGAAGGGTGTTCGGTGTTTGTTTTTTTTTCTCTTCTATGCATCCTATTTCCAAAGTAGTAAAGAACAGACAAAAGTGCAGTAGGACTGCACGTTGTGTTTATCTTCCTTTTCTTGTGCTTAAAAGAACTTTGGACAATTGTAACTGGAAAAATAAAAGGGGTAGTTTTGCAGCAAGTAGCAGCCAACATCATGCACAACCACAAACTGAAATATTTTTCAGAATCTTTTAACATGAGCAGAAAAGATGTTGATAAAGCGATACATTTGCGGTTCAATTTGCAAGGCTTCCTGTGCTCCTTTTGTTGGGAGACAGTGAAGGTTACCTTTAGAACATTTACAGGAGATTTACTTCCAGTACCTCCCACAGACTAGAACTGGGAATTGGCAGGTCAGAGGAGCCTGTAAAACCACACTGATACCTTTCCCAGTGAGGAATGGTTTTTATTTTTGTCTGAAAAACAGGAACTTTCCGGGAGAAATGATGAATACAACACTTCTGGGGCTACTGCTAATAAGGATAACTGTTCTGTTTTCTTATGAACTTCTTTGGAGGAGGTAAACTTTGTTTTAAGAGCCCCAAAACTAATTAGCATGTTTTAATAAAAATCATGGGATAAATTGACAGCTATACTACTGTGCCTTACTTTTGACTATTGTGGTTCCAGTTCTCCTTCCTCCCAGAGGAACACAACAGTAATTACTGGTGACATCCAGTGATCTCACATAAAGGGGAGAAGGAGGCTGAATTAAGAAGCTTTCCCTAAAGATAAGAAGTGTGATTCTTCTCTCTCTTAAGGAAGGCTCCGGTCTGTCAGCTTGACCACACATCTGACCAGAATCAACTGAAGCTGGGTGGGATAAAGCCCCCATGTTGGGTAAATTACAGCAGATTAGAGCACAGGCAGGTGGAACAGTATTGAGAAAACAGATGGGTTTACATTCCCCTTCTCTTCCTAAGGATGCTTGCCAAAACTCTAGCAGTATTAAGTGTAAAAGGTGTGTAGCATAGTTGCAACAAATAGCTTAAAATCCATTGTTCTGTGGGATTTACTGTACTTTTGCCTTCTCTCTTTGCTGTGCTAGAGCATCTTCAGTCCAAGTGAATCCATAGGTCCCTTTGACACTGAGCGCAGCCTTTATGCTCCTGGTAAATTAACACAGTACTGGGAGGACATAAATAAGTAAAATCACTGACAGGTGTTAATCTTTCACTGTTGGGGGCAGGGGGTGTGATGTAAAAATGAGACGTGAACTGATGGTATCCCAAGGGTATCTGATTCCAGGTCTAACACTGTGAAGCGTGACTGGTGATTAGAGTTACACTGCGAATCAGAGCCTGCCAGTCCTGGAGGAGTCTTTTCCTTGCTAGCTTTACTGGTTTAACTTTCCTTCTGCCTTTCATTTTGTAGTCTCAAAAATCTTATTCTCATCCACCTTAATGCAGCGCTGCTGAGTAGTGCAAGCTCCAGCTCAGTTATAAAATAAGGAGATTTGACTTGTAATATATCCCTGCTGAAAAAGGTGGTGCGTCCTGAGACACTTGATGCTAGAAACATGTTTGGGATTCTGAGCAGTCAGTCACTTTATATCTTGATTTATTTGCAACCTAACTTCACCTACAGTTAAAAAACTGAGTATGTGCCTCACTGTGCCTGGTTATTGTGCAGCATTAAAACACAGTCCTTTTAGCTCTATATAGGGAGCAAACTGGAAGCAGCAGCATATTGACTAAAATCAGGTGAATTGGGCTTAGTTTTGGTTCTCTGATCTCTTAGTAATCTCTGTAGCTGTGCGAGACTGTAGTAGTGGCAGTACAAGATTTAATTTCCAAACTATGCAGTTAAAATGACTGTAATTTCTAGGGGAACTTTAAATGAAAATCCTGCCAGCTAATCTCTCTGTAGTGTGGAAGAAAATGAAAATTGTGGCTTTGGCATAAATGATCACTGGCATCGTATTTACGGGTAAGAGAGGTAAAATGGGAACTCGAGTGAGAGCAAAAGGATGCTTTCAGCAATAGTATGTCTTGGTGCAAACTGGAGCAGTTGAGGATTTACCCTTGTGTGATCGTGGGTGGGAGGCAGCAGTAGTGGTCTCGTCACACTGGTGGGGCAGCCCTGTCAAAGATGAATTTGGGCTTTTGTCTCTGGGTCAAGTATGATGAGAGTTGCTTTATTTTCTGACACTGCTTAGTTATCTGAGCAATAGTGCCATCTTTACAGAACTGCCTGGGGAGACTGGAGGGTCACTTCAGTGTTGTGTCATAGCATAGCCCTGGCAGAAGACAAGGGCAGAACTTGAGGTTATAGTACAGTTTGTGCTATGCTCCATCTCTCTTGTGGATTTTGTGTCTTATCAAGTAGGACATGTATTCTCAAGACAGGTGTCAGAGGGTGACTTTGCCTGTCTCCTGGGGAGCGGTGAGTCATCTGAGGCACTCCTGAACACACAGCACTTGAGATGCCCTCGTGTGTCTTGTCTGGCCTCTGGCTGCCGCTCAGAGGGGTGGATATTCTGTAGGTAACTGTCATATCTGGTGCTCCTTGAGATGACAGTTCCCTCTTCTCTAAAGGTTTGGTTGAAAAATAAGTGGCATCTTTTACCCAGTGCAGTTTTTAAGGTGCTTTCTGCTCTGTGCCAAATGTCTTGTGTCAAGCAGTGTGTTACCTTGCTTACAACTTCCCTGTGCTGTAACCCGTAAACATTCCTTTCTGAGGGGTAAAAGCTGCATCTTAGCAATGGAAAAAACTGGGCCTTTTGTATCTGATATTATGGGATACCTCAGTATTTTTCAGTGGAGCATTAGAAGCTTCTTCACTCTATTTTCTGGAATGTTCTTTGATACAACAACACCCCTCATTTGCCTTCTGCACTGCAAGAGGTTGTGCCTTGTGATTGATCTGCTTCTGTTCAGAGCAGGGTGATTTCTGTAGTTCTGTCTGTGTTGGTGAAACTCACCTTGTCCTTCTTTCTCCAAGTCCTGATATCATGTGTTATGGGGTACTTGTTATGAGTAGAGGCCGCAGTAAAATTCTGTATGAAGGTGGTTTGAGAAAGGGTTATACACTGAATGTGAATGCCTCAGTAAAGAAAATAGCAGGCTTGGGTTTTTTATGTATACAATGTACTGGCAGGGTGTTTGGTTAAAAGCAAAAGAATGCTGACAAAAGGAAACTTGCGTATTGAGCATAGGGAATTTCTTCCTGCAAGTTGTGCAGATCAGTAATTAGCATAAGTAGGAAACACACTGCTGTGTAATATTTACTATTGTATTAATCAGGCGAAGAAATAGAGCAAGTGTTAGGGTGCAGGTAGATTGATTAGTGTTTCATATTGGGTGGTTATTAGGTCCCGTTTCTTAGTGGAAGTACATGTAATTCTCTGCCTTGCATCAGATGAACCAGGGATGTGTTTGCCGTGTCCTGCTTTGCTCCCTGTGAGTGAGTCTGTCTCGAGATCTGGATCTTTAACTCTGTCAAAAACCCACACTTGTTCTACTTGTTGTCTGTACGACTTTTATCAGAGAATGGTTTCAGGGTCTTGTCCTTGTAACCCTAATGAAAGGAAAACTGATCTTTTAAATGGGTGTTGAAATGGATAAATCACAGTTACAAGCACAACATCCTATAATGAAGGCTGGAAGCATCGTTTAAAGGGAGTAACATTTATATAAATGTTTCAGTCTTCTGAATGTGTTATCATTAGGGAAAACTAATCATTGGCTGAATAATCTATGCAAATTTTAGCAGTGCCATGAGGAATACTTTTGGGAACCTCTCAGATTCTTGAAGAAGAAAAGCAATTAGTTATTTCCTTTCCCAGTGTTCTGCTGCAAATCATTTCCTTTCCCAGTGGGAAATGATCAGTATTAAATGCTGCAGTGTTGTCTTGACTGACAGTCTCTTGAAAGTGTTTGCTTACCTGGTAGAAACTTAAACATTTTGATACATGATAAGGTATTAGTTGAAGTATTATTATTTAAATTATTCACAAAAGTCAACACTTTTCTGTACTGCCTCTAGTGCATTAAGCATTTTGAGACGATCTCAGATGATCTCATTAAGCATTTTGAGATGATCTAAGATGATCTCTTAGAATAATCCTGACTGAAACTCACTGAAGTGGGTTTTTGTTCTTTATGTTTGTACATTTTTCTACCACAAATTGTCCTCTTTAGGTAGGATCTGAAATTATGTTTTGAAGAATGGGTTGCTTAAAAAGAAATAAATAGCAAAGTAATTCTAGTGCCTTTATCAGGCAGATAGGAAAGCAAACCCATTTTTATTTTCAGATTGGTTGGGAGATACAGAGCTTCATTTTATTCTTAATCCAAAGTTGATTTATTGTAGATGAGTTTATCATGGCAAGGGCACAGTACCTGATACAAATAACTGCAACATGTAGAGTCATGTTAGTGCATGGAAAAAAGACTTGAATAATGCTATCTGTTCAACCATGTAATCTCCAAGCAATGTTCTCAACAGCTACATTTTTACCAGCTTGGTTAGAAAAAAGGTGTTAGCCAGCATATTCCTTTAAAATCTTCTGTTACTTTGTGTTAAAACCAGAAACATGTGAAAAGTGTGAAAACCAGCTTGACGTGTGTTTAACAGGTGTCTTTGATACGCCATTCTTATAGTTACCTTATTTAATAGTAAACTTCCTTTTCCATGTGTACAAAAGCTGATAATGTCTGTAGTTTGAAAACTAGTGTTAAAAGACTTGGAGGAAGCCTTTAGTAATCATCTAAGCAGTTTGGAATGACTGGTGTATATTTATAAATAAACATATTTTAAAATAAAATTGTGAAAGCTTTCATAGTTAAGAGGAGTTGTATTTCAGCCAGATGTGTCTACTGAAAACCATGCTTTTGTTTCCCATTTCTGGAAGTGCTAATGTCACTCCTTGTGCAACTCAGTCAGGTCAGTCTGCAGGCGATATGTAGACTTTTCCTTTTGCTACCTTTTTAACAGTTACTTTTATATATGTAAAAGTGCGTATATATATATATATTGAAATAGGGGGTTTTGCAGCCTTTCCTCCTGGGAGTTCAGGAGAGATTTAGAGAGACTTGGTGGTGGTCTGTGCTCTTTGACAGTGGAGTTATTGGGAAGAAAATGAGGGGACACCAGTAAAAGGCAGTGAAAATCTGGGAGCTTGGGGAGTTAGTGCCTTCTGAACTCCGGTATTCTCTTGAATAGTTGGGCACAAGCTGGAAACTTCACCAGACTGATGTTACTTCAGTGAAAGTCACTGTCTTGTTTTGTTACTTCAGTAAAGTAATAGGGGGATACTTCTTTGCTTCCTAAGAATACCTGGGAGTGCTGGGACTTCGCTGCATCACAGGGAAGTCCTTATAATGCACTATAGTTCAAGTGGACTTAACTTTATTTAATCTTACCTTTTTCAAACTGAAATAGCATATGGTGAAAGTTTGGGATTTTGTGTTCTATTTTGTGTTGGTTTTTTGTGTTTTTTTTTTTGCTCCAGCTCTCAACCTTGAGCTCCTTTCTTTAGTGAAATAGGAACTTAAACATTTCATTAACATCTGCTTAAGGTGTCTGTAGCATCCTAAAGCTTGACTTGACATTGCATCAGGTATTCCTTTGGCTGTTTTGAGTTCATGGGTTTTATGTGAGTAAGATATAGCTAATGATCAGATAAGGAAAATAACCTCAACTGTTGGGGGAGTAAACAGCTGATATTGAAGTGTAAGAGTGTGAGGGAACTGTGAGAACGTGGACAGACAAAATTGTCTTGGGGTCAGAAAATGAGTAAATGACAAGTAGATTGGGAAGGGCATTAACATAAGATTCTTGAGAGAATAATTTATACCAGCTTCTGAGATGGTAAGGACGTGAGGGTGAGGAATGGAGAGTCACTAATATGTTAAGAATTGAATGTGTACTTTTGGGAAGCTGTAGCAGCAGTAAAACCTGAAGATACAGAAATACAATGGGAACCTGTGCAACTTTGAAAACGCAGGCAGGAAATTGCATTTGATTTGGACAGTGTCATTAACATAATGTGTTAATCAGGGAAGAGGGAGAACAGGAAGATGATGAAGAGGCTGAATTTTTCCTCTTATGCCTCTTAGAGGACTCCTCTGTATATCTCACTTGGCAGGATGATGCATTAAGTGCCAAAGTGTGCAAATAGAGCGGTATTTAAAAGAGCATAAGAATGTATTTGCAACAGCAGAAAAGGTAAACTTTTAAAGCTTCATAGAACTGGAGAGTCATCTGCCAAGATAAAAAGTAATGAATATGCCTGTAACTCGGCATGTTTGAAAACAGATGATGGAAGGTGTGGTCAGAAGCCAAATGGGAGTAAATGTCCAGCTGATACAGGGCAAGTGAATATGTCCTTAGAACTCTTGGTTTTAGCAGATGTAGTGTGTCCAGCAAAGAATGACTGATGAGTAGCTTAAATAGGTGACTTAGCAGTTTAGATGTTAAAATAAATCTGAGAATCTTAGTGTGCTGTTTCCAGCCATGGAGTTTCAGTACCAGCAGCTGTTTCCTGAAGTGCACCAGTTGCATACCTGACTGTCTGATCATTGCAGGGGCCTTCGCTTGCAAGATGGTGCCGTTTGTTCAGTCCACTGCCATTGTCACTGAGATCCTTACAATGACCTGCATTGCTGTGGAAAGACACCAGGGGATTGTGCATCCACTCAAAATGAAGTGGCAGTACACCAATAAAAGAGCTTTCACGATGCTTGGTAAGATTTTAAGCATCTCCAGTATTCGCGTATGTAGAGAAAGATTCTTCAGTGTGGAGGGCATGACGGAAGGCACTCACGGGACCAGTTAATAAGTTGTGACATTTAAAAAATTGCTTAAGGATAGTACTTTTATGTGTAGTAATAACAAGCCAAAAGCCTCACAACAGACTTAGCATCTGTAATCAAAAATGTCCTTAACAAAGACTGATAAAACTTTACAGCCTTTCTTTTTTTTTTTTTTTTTTTTTTTTTAAGGAAAGTTTCAAAATGTACAAGCACTGCTAAAGCAGTGTCACAGCTAAATGGTCCTCCTATTGCTCAAGCAAATTAAGTGGCTTTTCCACTTGAATACCAATAGTCGGAGGTAGAGAAACAGAAAGCCGAGAACAAAAGAGATGTTCTGGATGTTAACAGATTTTCTTTATGAAAAATTGTCTACCTTGCCTGACTTCTCCAAGATGAAGCTTTGTTGGTACCAAAACCTACCCTGCTCGTTGTACAAAAGCATTCAAAGCTGTATTTGTTTACAGGCGTAGTGTGGTTGCTGGCTCTTGTTGTCGGCTCACCCATGTGGCACGTGCAGCGGCTCGAGGTATGGTAGGTGACGTGGGAATTTTCCTTTTTGACACTGCATCTTTTCGTACCTTTAGCAATGAAATTGAATCAACTCTGATGAAATTAGAGGGGAATAAGAGAGGTGGAGCTTTTGTTTTGTGTGCTGGCATGGGAAAGGCTAAGGATTAGAACTTGCATGCGGTGGAAGAAGGAATACAAATAGGGACTAGTCATGTCTACCCTGCCTAATTATGTCAAAGAGCTCTAATTACATCTGTGACTTTCACTGTGGCTTCTTGGTTTGTAAGTGCACTGGCACACAGCACTGTAGGACTTAGATTACTGTTTCAGAATTGCAAAGTGTTCCCCAAGATCTGGAAAAGCCGTGCTTAGTTTCAAATTAATTAGCCACTCATTATGGCTGACGAGTTACCATACATTTTTGGAGGTTAAAAAAAATAGGCTCGGCAGAATCTGCTGCCTGTGAGTCGGAATGTTAACAATTTAAGTGACTAATATTTGAGGTTTCTGTACCATCTTTACCTGTAAAATGCATAGGCCAGGTCTCCTTTGAAATGCAAATCAGAGCACGTCCTAACCTTTTTTTTTTGCCAGCTTGGGTTGACCCAACACTTGATGTGGAAAAGTGTTTGGAAGAATTTTGCCACTTTGAAAAGTCTCTTGAGTGGTGATTGTTCTGTTAAGAGTGAGGAATATTTGAACGTGCTTGGTTTTCCCACTTGGGGTAAACACTTCAGTGACTCATCTTCTTTGCACTTGTTACAGGTTAAATATGACTTTCTGTATGAAAAAGTGTATGTTTGTTGCTTGGAAGAATGGGCCAGTCCGATCTATCAGAAGATATACACGACTTTTATTCTTGTTATACTCTTCCTTCTGCCACTGATGCTGATGCTTTGTTTGTACACCAAAATTGGCTACGAGCTCTGGATTAAGAAACGAGTGGGAGACGCTTCGGTTCTTCAAACCATTCACGGGAGTGAAATGTCCAAAATATCAAGGTTTGTAAGCAAAATACACTTGGAACTTTGACTTCTAGAAAGATTTTTTTTCCCCCCTCTGAAAATTCTTTAAAACCAGTGCAAAGAAACCCCCAAAACTGTGTTTCCTTCTCTGTTGGGAAGTCCACAAGCACAGACCAGTTTTTCAAACCCAGCCAGTTATTTGACACTCAGATACCCAATTTAAGGCCATCTAACCAGATTGTTTTCTTGGAAGTATAGTGCAGCCACACCGTGGGAGTGAAGCCCTTTCACTAAATCTCAGCATATTTATACTTTGTGAAATGCTTGTTTTTAAAAGATGGAGGCCCTCAGTTAGAAGATGACTCGGGGAAAATTCTGCTACATTATTTCTGTGTGTTCTGTGGAGAGTTCTTTATACAATTCTGAGACTCTGAACAACATCTTAACTTGACATCGAGTTTCCAAAGCATTTACACATGTTCTCAGATGAGTTTATGGGAGACTGCCCAGGTGGGAGTGCTCTGTGTGAGAAGCCACCAAAATCAATAGCTATCAGCTTTGCTATTTAGCACTAAATAGGGGCTGCCTTTAATATGGCCTCATGGTTTTTTTTCCCGTCATTTGGCAAATTGATCTGCTGCCTGATGTGCTACAAACCTCCAACAGTTCTGCTCACTGAGCCTTAGGTATTGACCCCAAGGAGAATCCTGACACACAGATTAGAGATAAATGATTCCTTGGATATTTGCCTAACAAAGTGCCTAAGGAGGCAGATACTTGCACATCAGCACTGGCGGAGGGTGCAGTCTCACAGGAGTTAATTTGACACGTTCTTCAGGCCACTCCTCAGCTTAGTTTCACACAGTGGCCCAAGAACCTGTAATTGCTACCAGTGAAGTGCTGCTCCTCTAGCTCAAGTGAGAGATCCATCTTGGAATCTATAAATCCACTTGGATCACTTATTACATAAGGAAAATGTTATGTATTCCCTGATTTTGTAAGATATTACAGTTGAGGCAGGGAGTGAGTTTCTTCTTTTTTTTTTCTAGAACTTTACCTACCAGCAAAAGTTGAATGCAGCTGCACTCACTCTGCCAAATTCTCTGAGTGATCAGCTCCTGCAGGTATAATCAGTGCTCCCAGACTCTTGTTTTTTGAGCAATTAATGGAATTTCATGTGTTCCAACCCCCCCATCTCTTACTACTGGAATTATTTGCATCTGCTCTAATAGAGTTTAAAGTGCCTAAAATGCAAGATGTGTCATGCCTTGCTGCAGCTGCAAAGTGCACTGCTTTCCCAAAAGGGAGCAGTAAAAGGTGCTCACTGATGTACCAGATTTATATGACGTTGCATTTTTTGTTTCCCAAGGGAGTTGTGCGCTTCTGAGCATTCTTCGAGGGTTTTGTTTGCATCTGGGAGCCCCCGGTGGTCCAGGGGAAAATTCACTGCACTGTCACTGCAGAGATCCGGGTTCGATTCCCGGTCGGGGCCCCTCCCCGGGCAGATGGAGCTCGTTAGCCCGTAAGGCAATCCATCTACGTCCTGAGGACCTCGCTGCCACCGTCCAAGCGTGTTTGGCCCCGGCAGATGAACCTCAGGATTAAAGGGTGGGCTCAGTTCCGCGCACACTGTGTCTCACCTAAAAAATCCAATGCGCAGGCTGGAAGGTGGAAAGACCTTCCCCGGTTCTTCGTTCGCGAAGAGACTGGCCATTTTTGTTTGCATCTGCAGCCATCAGAGCAGAGCAGTTCCAGCTGTAAGCTGAGGAGGGAGGTGTGAACTGCCAGTCGATGCTTAGTGACTCAGTGTGGAATGTCTTGGTGCAATTTCAGGAAGAAGAAGCGGGCAATTGTTATGATGGTGACAGTGGTGTTTCTCTTTGCAGTCTGTTGGGCCCCTTTCCACGTGATTCACATGATGATAGAATACAGTGAGTACCTGCCATGTGTCGTACAACAAAGCCCTTCTTAGTTGTTTTTTTTTTTTTAATGATGGGAATACAGGTTGTGACAATCTAGTGCTGCTGTAGTGTTCAGCAGTGGAATACCTTCTGCTGGCAAAGGCTCACGTAAATCCTGGATCCCTCTCGGAATAGAGATACCTAGGCAGTGACAGAGGAATTACTCTGAAGCCTGTGAGTGATAAACATACCTGCAGTGCTCATGGAAAATGAGTGTTTTTCAAAAAACCTATTATTACTGAATCATAAAGTCATATAGGTTGGGAAGGACCTTTAAAGTAGTGTTTGGGAGATCTCTTATATAGGAGATAGATTTGTTTCAATCATGCCTCTCCTTCTCTGCTCTGTGAATGTAAAAAAAAAAAACACAAACACAGAAACAACAGAAGAAAACAAAGCACAAATACAGTCTTTGTCTTGCACCGAGCTTTTTTTTTGCAGGGTGGGTGGGAGAGGGGAACCCAAGCTCTCCACCTGTTCTTTTGGAATGTAAGCTCTTTGTACAGCAAATAATCCAGGTCTGAAGGGGAGGTTTGCTAGGCCTTACAAGACTCCAGAAAAACACAAGACCATTAGGGTGGTGAGCATATCTCTGCAGATTCTTTTTCTTTTTTGTGTCTGTTGTGCTGCCCTCATTTGCTGAAAGGTCAAAAGTGCCTGGCTGGAAGGTAAAAGTTATATCTGAGCATAAACCTCCTTGAAGTACTGTTTGAATTTAAATTTAATGTAACTGTTTTGAGTTAAACTGATGAAATTTCCGTGCCTTCACCTGTCCTGGTTTTAATGGTGTGGGCGTATTGGAAATATAAATTCTGGACATTATAGTGATAATACCCAATGAATGCAGTTGAACTTTTTCAGTGGTCTTGACTGAAAATTGTCTTGGAAGTGCCCTCAGTGCTTGTTATCCTTGCTTTTTGCTATTTGCCCTATTCTCTCTTCATCTCCCATGTCCTCCATGGATGCTGGGCTAACTATCACGCAGCAGGCTGTGTG